CTATTCTCAAGGGATAAATTCAGACGTATAGCCGATTCCACATACTATGCGGCATATTTCTACTCGTTTTGCACCGATAAGGACAGGTACGCAATTTCTAAACAAATTAACTTATTTATTTAAAATTTGAATATTATAGAATATTTAATATTATAATCATTTTAATGTCTGTAATAATGACAGATACGAGACACTAACAAAGTCTATGATAAATATATTCATTCTGGACGACCACGCGGAGACCACATGGGGTGACATTAACCGTAAGGTAAACAAACACTTATGTCAATAATTAATATAATTATCAAAATTAAAACATATTTGTGGCCCGATTCCAAACTATTATAAGTCCAAATGCACATACATTACTACTGTATGAACTATAGGTAATACATTGGTCAGTAAGTTAAATAAATTGTATATAAAACAAGCGATTATATAATTTTTTAAAGGCTTTTAAATTTAATTAAATATTTAGTTTAAACTCAAAACTATAATTAAACTAGTATTTATAATAAACTATTAAATTATTTACATATTATTACGTTTATAATATTAATATTGACCAATGTATTACCTATAGTTCATAGTAATGTATATGCATTTGGACTTATCAGTTTGGAATGGGACCACACATATATTATTATTATTATGTTATATTATTAAACAACGGGAACAGGAGGTTAAAGCTAAGGAAATATACGGTCAGTTGCACGAAGTATGCGACAAATTATTGGACCCTGATAATAGAACTATCAAAATGCATCGCTGGAAACCCTATATGTTGGGCGTCTATGCCATCTATGAAGACATGATGTCTGCCTATAATGACTGCCAACGGAAACGGTGTTTAGGATTCCTGAAGGAGTGGACGGACAGTGTGATCGACGAGTGCGTAGAGTTGGAGGCAAACAAACGCATTGAAAACTTGGCACAATTCATGGAAGTAAAATCAGCCACCCTAATTTAAAAATAACCTAGATATAAATTAAAACATTATATTGTCAGGTGAGGGGCGTCTCGGTTGCCGTACTATTCTTCATACAACTCATGGAATACGCGGACAACCTATTCGTACCGCAAGCGGAATGGGATCACCCAAAGTTTCAACGGTTACTTGAGCTGGCTACATATTTAGTCACCTTGATGAATGAAGTCTATTCGTTCGAAAAGGAGGTTAAGGAACGGGACTGGAAAATAGCTGAGGCCTACAATATGGTTGCCTTTTATGTGCGCTTTAAAGAGGTATCAGTGGCCGAGGCAATGGACAGTCTGGTTACTGACTTCCTGGCAATGGAGGCGGAAATCTTTGCCCTAACAAAGGAGGTGCTCACTGAGGACTGGCTCAGCCCCGACACCCGGGTCTTTGTGGGGCGTATCCTCTATTTCGTTGGCGGTGCGATGAAGTCTCACTCTTTAATGGAACGCTATAGAAGTTTAATGTAACAAGGTGATTAATGAATACAAGAACACTATACCATAATGCTTATCAATATTTGTAATATAATTTCAAAAATATGTTTTAAATATTTTGATTAGAATTTTATATTTTATCCTCAAGTAATCCTCCAGAAAAGTGCTTAAAGTTACTGTTGTTGTCCAATCAATAAAAAAGTGTTGGAAACATTAATTCAAGTGACCTCAATCAATTAACGCAAATTCCTCATTTAATACTATGGAATTTTTTATTATTGACCTTTTATTATATAATAATTATTATTACCCACTTGAAACATATATGGTATATGATATGATATGAGCTAGGGACAACCATACTATTTTACAGCTATTTTATGTTTATTATATCTAATTATTAATTTTATACAAAAGTCAATTATTCATAAAATATTCATAAGTTTAAGGTAAACGAGTAGTATTATAACTTATCAGGTTAAAATATTACTGGATTTTAAAGTATTAATAAAAATATCTAACGTTACTATGGTTGTCCCTAGCTCATATAATACTTTTTAGTATTAGATAAAACATATTCTGAAAATACGATATATAAAATACAACATTCTATACCAATTTAAGTAATATTGAATTTAAATTGTATCTTGTAGTTATTTAAAACTTAGTTAAAGAGTTTAACAGTTATTTTTATAATTATAATACATATATTTAATTAAATATTTTTGTTTAGTAAACATTTATATTATAAAATAAGAAAAACATTTATTTTATTCACAATTATACAATTTATAATATTATTTTTGTCGTGATTACAGTTACATTTTGAAATATTTAGTTCATTACAGCACAATTTCACAAATATATTATTATAAAATTTAATAGGGTTTCAGGTGTTAACATTGGTATATTATGATTAATTTACATAATTATCATAGTTATAGCTAATAAATTTACTAATATTTTAATGTCCCTGTTTCATATAACCGAGTTTTATTTAATATTCTACTAAATTACAAACATTTATCTTTCATTAAAAATTTAATTAAACTTTAGAAATAATCTATAAATACTTATAATTAGATTGTAAAAATAGTATATGATAAGTTATTTTATTATCATACAATATTTATAATGTGTTGAATGATAATTAAACAACTTGTAAAATAAGTTAATTGTTTTTAAAATTTATGGTTAAATGAATGTATTTATTATAAATATGTTTAGTTGTTATTAGTATATGGGATAGATTTAGTGTGATAAAGTAATGTTATTTTATATTGTATATGAGTTACCCAAACCTGAAGTATGCTTTAACATTATACTATATAACTCAAAGAACATACTTCAGCTTTGGATAATTCATATACTCTAGTCCATAAAAAATATACAACAAAATCAATTGAATAATATTTTAACAAATCTTAAATATACATTTAAATCTGTATGATTACTAAAATATGATGACATGACTAGTAAACATCAAATTATATATTATATTATTATTTTAAAAATAGATTTATATGATATAATTCTAACATTTATTCTGTGAATGGCATATAATTTTAGGCCATAAATTGGATTTTAATGTATTTATGTGAAAGATATTTAAACTGAGAAGTGCTTACGTACCACTTTTAGAAATAGCCATGCTATAGATAATACAATCTGTATAGAAATTAATTATAAACATGGTTATTCATATTCATTTAAGACATTTTACAAAGTTAAACATACTTTAAGTCCACGAAACCTGTCCATTAAAAACAGTCGCCAACAGTAAAACCCAATCCTTTTTGCACCCAACCGTTCAATGAATGACATCAACTTAATATAAAATTATTTAAATTAATACCTAGCTACATGGCCAATATTGGTAGCATATTAAAATACCTTAAATTTTATAACTCTATGCTTATCATGTTTGCAATAATATGTATTCATTAATTTACATGACCTGTTTGCTTCAGTATATAATTGTGATGAATAATTGATTATAAGTAGCAAGGCCAACATGAATTCAGTAAATACCGAAAACACAAATATCTTGGAAATGATTACTGACTCGGAAAATATAGCTAAAAATAGCAACAAGGTGGCCATTAGTCCAATTGTCAACCAGTATATGAGTAAGAAATAACACCAATATTTATTATTGTAATCATTAATCTCAACAAATAGTTTGTTATATCTATCCATAATTTTATATGGGTGCAATTTACAATTGTTGCGAACTTCGTGGTTAAATGTCTGTAATTTTAATAGTAAATAATATGTGATAATAGAAAAGTATACTAATTGCCATAATATGATCCTGTTCACATAGTGACCAAACAAAGCCCATATGAATGTATGTGGCACGCCATAAATAATAATATCAATTACATTGGTAAGTTTGTTGGGATAAAAGAAATACACCGCGATAAATGTCACATAAAGTGTATATTTGCATATGAACTCGGTTATTTTAATTAAAAACCGGCTAAATGATAATATTTTTAAGATAACTTCAACATTACGGATTTCAATATTTTTAGGCGTAATTATCCCTGCTAACATTTTAAATATATTTAATTCCTGTTCTATAATATTATGGCGATAATTATAGTAGTTTAATATTTGACATGATATTATTGTTAGGCTAAATAAAATGAACAAACAGCCCGCTTGAATTCTACTATTCATAAAATAACCAAAATCGCCGACAATCATGTGGAAGTTTCTAGTTTGTTGTGGTATTGAAATTAATATAAGTTGCCTGGTTAACATAAACATGTTGAACACAAACAAAACATGAGGTTTATTTAAGAATGATCGAGTTGTTAATGAATTGACTGGTTTATTTAGTGATAAACCAATGCCATAAAGATGTGTGCCAGCACTCTCAATGGAAAGTGATGTTGGTAATACATAATTGATTGAAATATGGTTTGGATTTATTTGATCCTCCATGTGTAATAAAGTAGAATTAACACTTCTAATAGAAAATGGATATTTTCAGATAAATTTTTAATTCTGGTATGTGTCTGAAAATAAGGTAACTAATATATATCTTAATTATTTCTATTTTATAATTTATATCAAATACAATACTGTATACAGTATAATATTAAACTTAAATATAAAAACTAAAATTTCTCCGATATATTTAGAAATTTAAATGGATATTTAAATAATATTTTTTAATACACTGTAATAATTTACATTTATTGTTATGTGTATTAACTGCACTGTACTGTATATTAATGTTTTTTAAAAGTTGAAATATTAAAAATATTAAAAGTTAACTTTTTAAAAGCATTATTTGTACAGTATAAATTATACTGTAAAATTATTTTTAATGACATATGATATTATTGTTTTCATAAAAATTGTTTTAAAATACATATATTTAGAAACTTAAATGTGTATTTAAATAATAATATTTAACTTAATACAGTGTAATGCAATTTATATTTATTGTTAGATGTATTATTCTCTAATGACATTTAATAATATTATCATAAAAATTATTTGAATATTTGCACAAAAGAATAAATTAGAAATAAGTTATTATGTTTATTAAATGTCATAAAAAATATTTATAAATAATGCTTTTCAAAAAAGTTAACTATTAATATGTTTAACATTTAACTTTTAAAAACATTAATATACAGTACAGTACAGTGCTGTTAATGCACATAACAATAAATATAAACTTATTATATTGTACTAAATATCATTAACATTAAATACACATGTTTCTAAATATATCGTAAAATTGTAGTTTAATGTTATTTATATAATATATTAAACTGTATTCTATTATTTATAAATTATAAAAATAGAAATAATAAACGGGAAAGTGATTCTCATCGCGATATGAAGCACAACATGCTATAACAAGCTAAATATTTTTAAATGTAAAATATTGCTAGTAGTTAATTAAAACTTGAATATCGGATTTATTTTAAGGTTTTATATTTAAATTTACTTAATAATTATATTTTTAATTAAATATTAATGTTTTATAAACATTTATAACATAAAATTAAATTAAACAAAAAATAAAACTAAACATAAAGCTATTATTTTTACTAAAAATCGGTAATCTATTATATTAAAATAGATTATAATTGCTATTTGTGTTATAATTAAAGTTTACATTTTGAAATACTTAGCTCACGATAGCACAATCTCGCCTATATGATGATCACTGTGCAAATAGATAATTTTTAAAAAATACATTGTATGGCAAGTTAATAATAATAGAGTAGATAAATTAACTAATATTTATATTGCATATGCATTATTTAATTATAATTATAAAAAATAGTTATTTGAAATAATTATCATCAAAAGTTAGCAATTGGGGCAATATATTTATTAATATTGATTATTTGAAGGCCAGTCTACTATAGTCAACTAATAATAAGTACAACTTACTGTAGTGTAGACTGTAATTATAACCTTAAACTCATAATAGACTATTCATAAACTGAAAATTAATAAAAACAATTATTTTATTAAAACATATAATATAAAGATAATTATACTCATTAATATAGTTAAAAGTAGCTTTACTATATAGTTAGTTAAAATGAACCAGATAGTTTGTGTCATATTTAAGAAAATGTTCCAGTGCTTTTTCATCAAAAACCCGAAATTTTATAAATTTTTATGAACCAATCAAATAGTTTTTATAGTTAAAATAAAACTCTCAAAATGACCCTTATTACATAATTAGTATACATAATTAATCTCATGAAGTTCTTGGCTATCGCAACAAATAGTCAAATAACTAAAAAGTAAAAAAGTAAGGCTTTACTCAATTACTTATAAATTTTAATTTTAGTTATAAATAAATCTTATTTGGCGTTTTCAAACTAATATTGAACTTTGATTTTAAAAATATAGTAATTTTCATTAGAGCATACAGCGACACCAACCATACATTTTACATTAAATTAAATTAATTATAGAATAAAGATAATTAAATAACAATTTTTTAACTATCATATTTATATTATTCACTATTTTTGTATGAAAAAACG